CTATCATTATTTTTGGAAATAAGGCTATATTATTGCTGCATGAAAAGACCTAAGACAGAACATATTTTCCATTGTCACTGTGATAGTGTTCGAGCAGCTTATGCGTGGCATACCGCGAAATGGGAGCGGCACAAAGCAAAGTGGAGAGTGACTTCGCTTTGTCTTGTTTTTGGGTCGTGGAGCTTTGCTCGCGCATGTCACGAGGTAGTCCGGAAAACGGAGTAACGCGGGAGCACACGACTCGCCCTATATCAGCTCGCCTTCGGCTTCGTTCCGGTCAGCGTATAGAGAGAACGCAGACGGCACAAGGAAATATTGACACTTGCTGGACTTCTTTCCGTCACAACCCTGCAGCTACCATCCGAATACTCTGCAGCCAACGCGTTCACACCCATGTACAAGTGTAGTACGATGCATCGTTGTGGCACGTTGTGTTGACTTCGTTACATATTTGCGTGGCCCTGAGTGACAGGCGGAGCATCAGCGTCATCAAGAACACCTGGCACCCTCATCACGCGTTTTAAAGCTGTGAAAGTGAGGCACTATCCGCACTTGCGGACTGAACTACCTTGTCCATGGAAGGCGTCTGTGCATCAGCTTATCGCGGGACTTGCTTTGAAAGATTTTCGATTAGAAAGGGAAAGGAACGTGTGAGGAACAACGTTGGCTTTAACACAGAAAAGAATAACGCTCACGTCAGTTTTGTAGTAGTTTCTCGGAGGAACACATCATTCACTAATGAACCAGCAAGTGCTTTACGGATCCTGAAAAAGGACCATGACTTTTCGTGACGAATTCATGACAATCATCATACTCCATCCGATCTCTGGTAATTCCCACCAAGTCGAATATTGCTGTAGCATTTTATCCATCTTATAGATATGCGAGAAATCCTTGTGTTTCGTTAGTGAAGGAACTGCAAATGAGTAAATGTCTTTCGAAACATGATGTGATCAGTGGACAATAGAGCAGTACCATCCGTTTTAATGTCGTTCCATGAATCGATCACAACCCGTACACCGGGATCCTTCGCATTCAGTTTGGAACCAATGGCAATGATATCGAGAAAAATGTTGAAATTGTGTGCAGCACCCACGAAATAGTCATAAAATTCTTCCTGGACGGCGCATCCTAAGATTAAATTTTTGGCTCTGGTTCTTCATAAATAAGGTATACTACTCTCAATTACTTCCCTTGGTCCTTTACATACGAGAAATGGAACTGAGGGATCATCGAACGGCCATTACGAGACCGTCTAAATTTCGAAGCTGGGTTCTTTATGTGCAGTTTCGTGAGAGTGGAAGAGTTGAAGACATCCGCAGCTCAGCTTTCCGGGAAACGTCGTGATTATTCACAATTTCTTTCTTATGGGTCACCCTGTCAATCTGGTCCTCGAGTATCCTATGATTAGAGGCGGGTCGGTGACATACTCTGAAAATACATTATTGAGATCAGCTTGCCAGGATGTATCAACAGTATTTCATTGACCTCGCCATTCCTTGCGAAACAAAGTTTGCAGGACAAGTGAGATATTTGCGGATAACAAGCTGGGAGAATGCGATTCATTCTACCTCATTCTCGACTGACGCTTTGTTGTCGCATCTTCGAGGCTCTTCAGTAAGTAGGAGTTGACGCGAGGGAGGAGCGGGAAATATGTGTGGTGCTCTTATGCGAAGCGTTAACCCTACACACAGAATTCCCGCTCCTCCCTCTCGTCCACTCACTGAAGAGCTTAGAAAGTGCGACAACAAACGTCAGCCGAGAATGACGTAGAATGATCGCATTCTCCCATCGGTTACTCGCAAACATTTCACTATTCCTGCAAACCTTGTCCCCAAGGAGTGGCGAGATAAAATGATACTGTTTAAATTCCACCCCGGGTTAAACCAGCATCGCAGTTAAGTATTCCCAGACAATGTTCGAACGATCGCCTCCAATTATAGGATACTTGGAGACCAACTTGTACTGACAGGGGTTGACCGTAGGAGGAAATCTTGAATATCTACATTTCATCCGTACAGAGTTCATACTGCGATGTCCACTCTTGCACTACCAGAAGTTGAGCTGAAGGACACTTCAAACTTAGTGTGCTCACTCTCTCCACTCTGCTCCTGAATCTATTATAGGACTAAGGCGCAGTAGGTAGTTGCATGTTTGAGAGCAACAGCCCAAAGTTTCACGTAAAACCCGTTCGGCCATAATAAAAACATCATTTGAATAGATGCCATAGTAACAACAAGCTGCATGTTAGATTACTACAATTTTTTAAGTTAGTAAAATATAGTATAGGAATAATATATTTTACAGGATATGATTACCTTCATATTCTTTAGGGGACTTGGCAATGCATTGCAATCGGGTATACTCAGTTCCTTCAGTCTCCTACTGTGCATTAACTGAGTTCTTGATTAAATACAAAGGTATTCAGACGACGGACCAAGATTCTTTTTTGCTTTCCTGAAAACGAGGAAACAGTCACATCTACGGATATAACACTGTTAAGCAAACTAGATGCTGTTATAATTAGGGGATCGAATGATGAGATATTTATTAGAAACAGTCGGGCTCCTGCTAGCCGGCGCGCCTCCCCTACGTAGCGCGGCGACGGCCTCTCGCCGCAAGCAGTGTTTCTTTACATTATTCTAGACTCAACTTAATACCTACCTTTTTTTGGTTTTTCCTTAACTCCATTTTTTCCGGGTCTGAATACTCTTTGAGGCTTTTTTTACAGCATTTATCTCTGACTCCGCCACTCGGCTGGCCCGCCACAATACTTATACCCCACAATTTCTCAAATCGCCACCCTTGCTGACTGAATTCACTTTATTCGGTTTCGGAGCTCTGGACCGTTCCACAGACTATTTGTCTGCTCGCTATCTCGGGGAGGAAAAACAGGCTCCGCCCCACTATGTTTTTGACCCACAATCCTCCACCGGGAGCTCTCCCCTGAAAATTCGTCCACTTTTTCGGTTTCTGTGAGTTTTCTGTAACGAGCTACAAACACTTTAAAATTAAATGCCCGCATTTAGGCAAGCTCTGCCGTAGGGCAGTCAACACCTTTCGAGACATCCCTATTTGGCCAATATTTATCATTCTACATTATTTTGCGACTTCCAAACTAACCTCGCACGAAGAGTTATGAATTTGGAGAATGCATCCGCCCGCCATTAAGTACAGCCCGCCCATTTTTGTATGGTGTCTAGCCACAAGCTAGTCTACTCACTTATAACCTCTATTCCTTTTTTTCCATCTTTAAGCTGCTCGGAACGAATATCAACATTTTCTGCGGAACCCCAAACTTCCGCGGTGAGTTCCCGCCCTTCGGCGGGTGTTCCATGGCCAAGTGTGCTTTTTATTTTGTTCCATTCCTTACCATCCACCTGCTCCGACGCTCCTAATCGTTCTTCAGCTCGAAGAATTTCAGTACGACAAAAAAATACTACTTACAAACAACACTTACAAACAATCATTCAAAACAACAGAATTACATACTAAGTCGTCACTGATTGGACGCGAAAAGTACATAACTATACAGTAGGCAGGATGCGATCACAACTGTGATCACGATGAGTCAGTAGATCGTTTCGGTAGTTAACATCTTCCTTCATTAGGAAAGAAGCAAAGAGATCAACATATATCACGAAAATGATAGCTCTTCTCGTGAGGGTCCACCTGAAGCCGTGTAGGACGTCGTCGCATAAGAGTCGACGTCCTACACGACTCGACGACTAGTGATAGCTGATCCTCGTGACCAGCTATCACTAGTCGTTGTAGGCGTGATGGCGTTTAGTCATACTAAAGTTATAGAAGTTGGCAGTGAAATCTCGGAAAAACATCTCGGCGTGTCCACATCACTGCCGTTAATGTGTGGTGGTACCTCGTGAGCCGAAGCTGATTGGGATGTTAGACGCAGTCTGCCTTTCCAAGAGGAGCCTTGTAGAAAAATTGCCCCTATTCAGTAGAGCACCGTGCCGTTATGGCATTCCGTCTTGTTCAACCACGCTGTCTTGTCTGCGATTTCCTTAGGAACTGCTACGATGTCATGCTGCTTGTTTAACTGTGAATCCACTGCTTTGAGCCTAGGCAATTGCCGTGGAGTCGGCTTGAACAGACTTTATAGTTTTCGTCCCATGAAGAGTTCAGCCTATGACTTCATTGCGACCAGTGTCGTGAGGAATGATTGATGCGTCAGTGGAAATGTTTGCAGAGCTTGATAGCGTTTTCTTTAAGTGTAAGTACTTGGAAGGAGTTTTTTCGAAGGTGACGACGAGTCTCTCTGTCTGTCCCTTGCATTGCAGTCGATAAGATGATGAAAAGAGGTGTTGGATGCTGTGATCGGTGCAGAACTTCTTGAATTCGTCCGAGCCAAATTGTGTTGCTGTCGGCTGCGAGGGTTTTTGATACACCCTATCTGGCCGAAATCGTGGTCTCTGTCGTGTCACTATTCGCGCTGAGCTTCCGACCCATTCGAGAACCACTATGAATCAGCTCCTGGCCCAGCACAGTCGAAGGAATGAGAGTCCGTGGGGCGTCTGGCTGACGCAATGCCGCAAGCTGTTCAAACTAGACGTTTGGCAAGTGATAAGCAGCTCTTGCATCTCTGTGAACAGCATGTTCTGTTTCTTTCCTTTTCTGACCCATAGAGACACAGCTTCGCGCTGAAACTTTCAGCGTGTCGCGCTGAAACTTTCAGCGTATCGCGCTGAAACTTTCAGCGTATCATTCCAGGGCGTCTGTTGTGCAACAGTCGTGGTACTGGCGGCTGCACTGATGCTGGAATGACCACTTAGCAGCAGTAGGCATCTGTCGAGCGTCAAGAGTGTATCACGATGGTTGCACAGCGGGTTCGGACTTCTTATTTTTGCTGGCAATATCCTCTGTCGTAATGGTTTACTTGCTGAAAGGTATGGTCCTTCGATGTCGATTCCTCGATTTCGTCTGTGGTGACTGGTATAGCTCGAGTGTGTGTGTGTGTGTGTGTGTGTGTGTGTGTGTGTGTGTGTGTGTGTGTGTGTGTGTGTGTGTGTGTGTGTGTGTGTGTGTGTGTGTGTGTGTGTGTGTGATCATCTGCAGATCGCGGTGATTACGCGATCTTCTTTTGAAGCGAAGTGTAGCATTGAGTGTGGAAGGGTATGATCTCGTCTGAAGGTTCTGGCTGACCGGGTATTTAAACACAAATTGTACATTCTCCTCTGTGGGTCGTGGTCCTTGTCATGTGTGAGGTGAATCGGTCCGCAGCGCAGCTGTAGAAGCGTGTTGCCTTTTTCGGTCAATAGGTACATGGGAACGCGGCTCGTGTTGTTAGTGAGCACCCCTTCTCTACTCCGACGCTGCGCCTCGACCGCCGACCTAACCACGCTCCTTACCCATAACCAAACGCGCTACTTCTCTGCGTCTTTCTCGCTGGATTCGTGTTCCCCTGTGGGACCTTGGTTAAGACGCAAGTGCTTTCCCTTGAGGACAACGTGGGCGCGGGTGGAGTAGGAGACGACACTCAAGTACCACTGCCTTACAGCCATTCCCATGCACTTTGAGTGGAGAAAGTGGCACGCTATTGCAGCAGCGGATCATTCGGCTAGAACATAGCAAGGACTGTCCTCGAGGCGATGAAAGCGTATTTTGTTTTCAACTATTGAAGGTATATGACAGAAGTGTTGTTACTCATTTTTGCAGTTGTTTGATATGTCGACTGTAATACCTTTCATCGAACCGCTACAAGACGGATTGCAAAAAGCACCTGCTCATGCTTCTCGCTCACGAAATCAAGCCGAGAAAGACTTCAGCTAAATCAAAAGGAATGACTTGCGCTCATATTCGCCGTCCAAAAATGCTTCATGGACAATACACTCATCTGACGAACCGCGAGCCTCTACTCACTATCATCGCTTAGCGCATATACTTTCACTCTACATCGCAAACCAAAGTAGCGTATATGCTGCGACTAAGCTACAGCTCGTGAATGAAATTACATTCAAACAAAGTAGTGCATAGTGAAGCACCCTAGCAAAACAATGAAAAAGGCAAGCGTGCGACGATGAACAACTACAATTCTCCACTGCAAATAAACCAGTTTGTGGAAACTCTTATATGCGTTAGCTAAAACTGAAAAAAAAACTTGCCCTCCTTAACACCAGTCCCGAGATTCTCTGGAAA